ATATGGAGAAGTTTTACCTCCAAAATCTCAATTCTTCTCTCTTTCTCTGCCAACTGCTTTCTAAGTAGCATTATTTCAGCTGACGCTGGATTTAATTGGGGATCTAAAGTTTTTATTACCTGTTTGAGGGGAAAAAATTGTTTACTTTATGTTTTAAAGTACTGAGAATATAAGATCACATCCTATAAAAACTGTAAATAAAGCAGAAAATTCTCTACAGAGTCCCAGAAGCTCATTTACAATTTCATTGTGATAAGTGAAATAACTTATCTGAGGCAAGAAATGATATAAAATTTCAGTACAAAAATGAGAAGATCCCTATCCCAAAATCAAATTTCCTGTCTCCAAGGCTCAGTACTCAGGCAGGTATTTTAGCCTTTTCATCACTCAAGTTTGAGCACTGAGTTCTTAAAATAATCCTTTCCACATTAATCCTAGTGGTGAATTTTTAAAATTTAACATGAGTTCAGTAACAATAGTGGAATATGCTGATTTTACAAAGTACGAATAAAAAATAAATTCATAGCAAACATTCCTTTTCCTATCATTTACTCAGCTGTCAAATGTAATTAGCATATCAGATAAATATAGATACTACTGATTTTATCTGCAAATATTAGAATGCTCAATTGTACGTATATAAATGACTAAAGTTGGGTCAAAAGAGGTGTTTGATCAGAATGTCATAGAAAGACACAGCTAACCTATATGGACAGTGTTCTGTTAGGAAACCAACTGTGAAAGGTAAGAATTACAAGCAAAAACTTACAATAAGAGTATCTGTATGAGGTAATACAAGTCTACTGTTAAGGTTTTAAAATTATTTAATAACATAGGAAAATGTCATTCACATTTACAGAGGTAACACAAAAAGAATAGAAGAACCACATTTTCCCTGGGGTTTACACATTCACCAGCCATTTCCTGAGTATGAACACAGGCAGGCACATGCTGCTGTAGATGAAGCTCTAGCAGATCACAAGAGTCAGGGCACCTGGATCCACAGGGCTGCAGCAGAGAACATTACCGAATCCAAGTCATTCTTTAAGTTAAATCAATTTGTTACCTCTCTTGATAAAATGTATGGATGTGCTGCTTTTATATTTAAATTTTTTTTTACAGTGGACATAGGTCATTTTAACCACTATTTTAACATCTGTCCCCAAACAACGTAGAAAAATAAGAAATCAAATTTATCAAAGCAATCAACTGTCTTTTAAATAACGGTGTTGAACACAAGGAATTTATTGCCATGTTCAAGTAATCCTTTTAGAAAATAATCTATAAACACTTAACAAATATCTTAACACAGTCTTATCCTTTGATCCAATCATTTTAATTCTAGGTATCAAAATTAAGGTAACAAACCAAAATAAGAGGAAAGCTTTCTGTATAAATATGTTCCCTATATTTTTAGGAACAAATAATGTAAAGGAAATAAAATCTACTTCCATCAGCAGTATAATAATTAAAGAAACTACAATATAGCCCACACAACTGAGTATTATGTAGACATTATTTTACTTTTGCAGTCTGCTCCATAAGAGTGGTTCTGTCCTGTTCACTTCTACATTCCCAATTCTTAGCACGTTAAATACTCAGTAAATATTAAACCTTATAGTTATACTTATATAACACAGGGAAATGATTTAAGTTTAAAAATACACATGCACACACACACACACACACACACACATTCACATAAGATGATAATCAGGCATGAAGGAAATATGCATAAGAATACACTGTTAGAAAATACACCAGGGGCTGGGGATTTAGCTCAGTGGCACCGTACCTGCCTTGCAAGTGCAAGGTCCTGAGTTTGATCCCTGGTACCACAAAAAAACAAAAAAACAAAAATATTAGTAGCAATTAACTTTATATTTTATGTAAATATGTGAACTCTTGCAATTGGAAGAAACTTAACTATGGCAAAAAGTGCCCCAATCTTTATCAAGCAAGCCTATTTCCTTTTCTCCTCTAGAAACATAGTGCTGCTGTTTGCCTCCCTACAGGCTGATACGGCCATGTGCCAGAGTTTTGCAACAGAAGTGGGAATGAAAGTGATTTCTGCCACCTCCAGGCCTGAGCCACCAAATATTTTCTCTGCAACCTATGTACCAGCTGGACTATGTAAGGTGAATGCAGAGACTTGCTGAAGGCAGAACCTCCCTGGGCTTGGGCCTCAGAATGACTGCACAGAGCTGAACCTCTCTCCATTCACACCTAACACCATGTGATCACAGAGTAAACTATCAATTGATGCTTTGAGATCTTGGCTTCATCTTTTGTTACTTTAATTCATAAGTATTACATGAGTTTTAAAACATTAAAAAGGCTGACATTTAACTACTTTAAAGCTGCCCCATAAAATTCCCTTTTTAGTCAATAGAGGAAAGACTACATTAATCTGAAAATGCTTATATACAGTAGTTATGAAAATAAGATTTTATGGAAAACATGCACTTACAGAAATTTTTTTTAAATATGAAACAAAGAAAAAGAATAATTTAATGATCATTAGAACATTCACTGTCCAATCTAGAGTAAAACCTAAAATAATTTCAAACAAGTTTAAAAACCTAAATTTTAGCCAATAAAAATTCTGAGTTCATTTTGCTAAGAACCAAAGGCTCGCTCCAAGGTAGCAGTCCCGTTCTCTAGCGGGGCCACGACATTCAGCATTTAAACTGTCCGTGTAATGCTGCGTTCTCTGATGCTGGCCTGACACTAGGGTGCTGACAGAGTAGAAACCGACATGGAGACACCCAGGAACCCGATAGGAAGATAAGGCAACAAAGAGCAGAGGGACTAGATGCCGACCCAAGAGGAGCAGTACCGACAGAGGATGAGGCCTCATTAAGACACGGCACACCAAGGCCTGAGCTCTGGAAAAGAAAGCGGTCACTCACGTTTCTGGCTTTCTCTAAGTACATTTTATATCTTTCTTCCATTGCTTTCATATCTTCATCTTTCTTATGAAGAGCAGCTTCAAGTTCACTGATCTTTTGTACTATTAGTAAAAGTAAAATGAAACATGATTATTACCTGTTTAAAATAACGCATCATCAAATGAAATGATACTTATTGAACCTATTTTTCAAACGACAAATAAGAGAATTTAAATGCAAAACTATTTCTTCTTTCTAGCGAATTATCTGAAACATTTGAACTACAAGCAATAGTTGTAGTTCAATTATTATCTATAGCCTACTTTACCTAGCTATTTTTCTATTAATCATTTCAATAAGCAAATAAACTTTCCAATGTAAGCATAACCATAATAAGAAAACACAAGGCATTATTTTGAAGTTGTTTAATCTGATTTGAAATTATTCACATTCCCATAGTATTCATTCTATTACATCTTATAACATTTGATATTCCTATATAAAAATCAGTTCACTATTAGATTTACAATTTTTCTTTAAGTTTAGGTATCTTAACTCAGCACTGTAAGTTACTGTGGTTCTTAAATGCAATGTATCTACATATTGTGTAAAGATGACTTTTTTATACAGTTCTTGTATCTTTCAACCAGAGAAGGTAAATCCCTAATGCAGTGTGACCCAAAGTTTTACAAATACCTACCATTTTGACTTACATCTGGCTGAAGGTCTTCAACGAGCTCTTGTTTCTTCTGTAACTCTTCATGGACCTCTGTTAGTTTTTCCCTAAGTAGTGGAAAAGAGTATGGACTTGGAGTCAAACAGACCTAAGGATGCAAACTGGGCTCTGCCACCTACCATTTGTGGATCTGGACAAGCTACTTTCTCACCCTTAGTTTCCTCATCGGTGAATGGAAAGTGCACCTGCATAATATACCTGGCTGTCATGAGGAGGTACACAGCCTGGCACATGATGGATGGAAAATGTGTTCAAATTTCTCCCTTGTCAACCTCAACTTCCAGGAAGAAAAACAGCTATTTTATAGGTTTAAGGCCCATAAACCTAGTTGTAATAGTTGTACCAATAATTTTGATAAACTCTCCAAATGATATTAACAATTTTAAAATGTATGAGTTTGGAGCGATTGTCAGGCTGAGACTTTCAGCAGGTTTTTCTTTGTACTTTTTGGTGGCAATGGTGCACATTCAATTATTATCAGGATATTTGCTTTTTTTCATCAAATCTGAAAAGAGAAATTAATTTCAGAAGTTTTTACAACCCCTCCCCTCTTCTATTTGAAATGCAATATCAGTTTTACTTACATATGAGCTTCCAACTTCTGCTTTAGTTTGCTGGACTATAAAATTAAAAACAGTTGCTGTAAAATTACTACCTTTACAAAGGTGAATTTTCCAGACATCTTTTCACCTCGTTTCAAAGGTAAAATTGTAAATGTTTTTACATTTTGTGTTTCTAATTATATTTTAAAAGCATAAAATTCTTGGTATGATTTTTACATCAAAAAGGAAAGGAGGATAAGAAAGAAGAGTAAAATGACAGAAAGAAAAAGTACTTCTGAACACAATAAAAACTAAATGAACTTGAAGAACAATAGTAAATGCCAGCTGACTGTGATATATTGAGGAGTTTCAAATACTTAAATTTTTAAAGGATCATTCATTCAAAATAACATTTTAAGATTTATCTTAATAAAATCTTATCATTAGCAATGCAAGCACTTTCCTGTAAGCACTAAGGTGAAGCAACTAGATTTGCTTTAAAAAATTAAAGCATAAAATTTACTCTTTTAAAGAAAATAACATTATATTGTCACAGTAGTTCTCTATCAATTAAATGGTTGCAGGGTTTAAAATACATCATCTGAAATATAACTTGGACATCAGTAAATAAAAAATAAAAGATAAAAAAATCAAAACATCCTTATAGCACCCTAACCCAATTTCCTCCCCCAAAGTCCATTTTCAAAGTATTCAATGACATGGCTAAACATCTCATATTAGAGGAAATATGACACTGTATATATGCATATGAGAGATGAATGAGACAATTTCTATTTTCTGAACCCCCGGGGAAAAAAGATAAAATCATATTAAGTATATAAAAGGTAGAAAGCAAATACCTTCCGCTTCACTGTCTTTTCCATCTCCACTTGCTCTAGATTTCCCTCCACTAGCAACATAGGCATAACCATCATTCTGTCTCAATCAATCTATGCTTCTCTAACACGTATCCAGCCCTACCTTCCTTCAGTGCATCTTTAATTAAATACATCCCTCTCTCAATAATATGTACTTTCCTCTCCACTTAGTGAGATTAAATTATAGAACTGGCAGCTATATTGAGGTGTAGGCTAAATTAGATCTCTTTTTAAGCCCTCTTATCTCTGTATCACACTAGGGATCATCAAAAGCCATCATAAAATGGCTGATATAAATAAGCACGTGTGGAAGTGGGGAAACAAGGTGACATCTTCAATATTGCGCAGAGGCTCCTGTCATGTCAGTGTGCTTCACTTCTTGAACGATCTTTGGTTGAAACTTTTTTGTCAATTCTCTATTTTCCTATTGGAGGTTTACATAATTGTGATTGCTGATTTTTGTCATTTGGATTTTTTTCAAGCCAGCACTGTCACAATCCCAGCAAGTTCTGAAGCCCTTAAGTGTGGCCTACTCTGAATCAAAACTCTTGAACTTAGATGCATCTGCTGAAGTGGGAGAGACAGAAATCACTTTACAGTGCATACCATTAATGGCTCTAATTTGGCAAAAGCTCTGCATCTCTTATATACATATATATGGTATTTAACGGTGTCCGCAATGACAAAGGTAGTACTTTCAAGTGCAAGATTAATTTAGCTGTCAGGAACCATTAAGAGAATTCATACACAACAGAATTACTGTGGCGGTCCAGCTGTCACAACACTAACATGCCTGAGTTGGGGAGTGAGGATTGAGAAAGGAAAGAACACTCAAACCTGAGCGGGGATGAATAGAAGTCTGCTTCATTTCACAGAAACAGCTCCTTTTATAGGCTCGCATCAACAGGAAGCTTTTAAGGGCACACAACAACAAAAAGCACCAAGTAATTGTTTTTCAAAGACTGGATTTCCTGACTCTTACAGATAACATCAGATCTTCGGCTAACGAGTTTCCTGTTATGTCAGGGTCAAAGAGTCAAAACAAGCTTAACAAACAGTTTCCTTGAAGAGTAGCAAATGCTGATGCCTTAATTATACAGGAAGAAGTTATTTTCCAAATGTCAAACTCCAGTGGGCCATGACTGGGCCCTGACATATCCCCCTTTTTATTATATTTAGAGCAGGGACTTTCCCAGCTCAGCAGAAAGACTGTGTCTGTCTTAGGTGAGAAATGTCCAGAGAAATTCCTTACCCGTCATCAAGCCATGAGAATTTTGATACTCATGCTCTGTCTTAGGTTGGATATTTCTCTACACTTCTCTTACCCGTCTTTGACTACCACCCTCTGCAGGGGTTAGATCGTAGGTTGTGGAGGCTTGACATGTAATTTTTACAAGCATCATTATGAAGAGAGGTTGTCTCAAAACCATCACAGACTGAAAGGAAGTCATCATTTTGAGAATATACAATTGGTCAATTTACAATTAAAACAGCTGTTGTTATATTCATTATCAGTTTCATAAGCAATCTCTGTATTTCTTACCAATAACATACAAGGAGGATTAACACAAGACATTATCTTTTTCTTTTGTTCTTTGACTTGAGATAACACAGTATTTATGGTATTTCACATATTAAAAGTCTCTATGTTAAAAACATTGAAATTAAGGCTAGTAACTGACATCTGACCATAAACATATTTCTCCCAATGCAGCAGCAAGCTTCCAAATGTTGCTTTGAGGAAAACCTGAATTTGTCCACCAAAGTAAAATCCTGCAGACAAGTTTAAGCCCAAAGGATTAGTCCAAAAACTTTTGAGATGTGTCCTTAAATGATCTTTCTTGAGGTATAGTAACATAACACCTCTTCCATAAAATAGTAGTACTGCCTATTTCTGTTTCTTCTCCACGCAAAGGTAATGATTGTGGAGGTTACTGTCCCATGATACTGGATGTAGACTTGTGAGGATGATCCATATGACAAACCAATCTCTCTGGTAACCATCGAGCTCCGTCATGTTCCTGTGAGAAAACACAAACATATCCTCGGCCCCATATTAAAATAGGGTCAGGTCCATACCATTGACCAGTTAAGGGATCTCTCCATTTTACCAAGGTATATGGAGAACCCTGTGGATGCCAGAATCTTTCTGCTGCTGAATAGCCATGCTTATCAATTTGCAAAAAATTTAGAATATAAATAGCATGACTTAAATAATTTCTGGGTGAGGAGGGATATAACTCCCCCTTTTATATTTTTAGAAGTTGCACTTTTAATGTGCCATGAGCACGTTCAACTATTCCCTGTCCTTGAGGATTATAGGGAATACCTGTAATATGCACAATACGCATTTGTTGGCAGAATAGTTTGAAGGCCTTACTAACATATCCAGAACCATTATCTGTTTTTATTTTTTGAGGTACTCCTAAAATGGAGAAACAATATATACAGTGAACAATAACATGTTTAGTAGCTTCTCCTCTTTGAGCTGAAGCAAGAATAAATCCTGAAAAAGTGTCAACAACAACATGTACATACCTTTGTTTTCAAAACTCCATTACATGAGTAACATCCATTTGCCATAGTTGATTAGGAAGCAAACCTCGAGGATTAATACCATAATGTGCAACAGAAGAAAATTGAGGACAAGTGGAGCACTGTTTAACAATTTGTTGGGCAGCTTCTCGAGGAATCTGAAATTGATATCTAAGAGTACGACTACTTTGGTGATGGAGTTGATGAGATTGACGAGATAAATCAGTTTTAGAAAGGGCAATAAATTTTGTGGAAACATCAGCAAGATGATTTCCCAAAGACAATGGACAGAGTAAAACAGTATGTGCTCGAATATGTCCAATAAAACAAGGAAGAGAATGAGCATGAATATAATTTTGTACTTGAATAAAAAGTTGTATCTCTAAATTACTGGTATTAATACAGGCCATAGTTTCTAAAGAAGGAAGGG